TGTAGGATGGTTAACCCCCTGGATTTTATAATCACACAGTTTATCACCAGAAAGCTGATGCCAAGATTAAACAGTCAGGGAAAAAGTGAAGGCACACTGTTGTGTACTGGAGATGTATTTTTCATGTATTTTTATATCCTTTGGTTAATTTAAAGTGTACACCAAAATCGAAAGCCATTTCCTGGACTTCAACTTTGCCTTCACCTTTACACCAGCATGGCAACCGTGATAACACCTCCAGATGTCCGGCAGAATGGGATGCCGTCATCTAGGCCCACTGCGTCTCAATGAAAGAAGCTCTTCACCCAGCAGAAACATCCGTCAGCTGCTAACAAAACACAACAAAAACATGAATCAATAGAGCAAGAACAGCAGAGAATTCAGACAGACTCGACTTGACCAGATATAGAAAGACATAACATGGTGTATACATAAACATCAAAGTATTACAAAAAGGTGTGAGGATGCATGAACATAAACATGCACAAGAGGTTAATAAGTAGCAGAGCAGTATGGGCAATGTAATTAAGATTTTAAGGAAAGCATTCAAAGGCCTTCATAGTCTCCAAAATGTCTGATTTGTGATTGAGTCGTGTTTCTCCAGAGGAAAAAAAGGGGCTAAAACCTGTGATAGCCGAATGCTAACTATTGAGGCCTGCAGAGCAAACCGCTGTAGGTCACTACTGACTGAACCTCCGCCAAAAAGCTTGGGAACATCCTCTGGAGGCGATCTGGTTTGAAATGTGGTACTTAGATTTTAAATGTGTTTCAGGGATGACCTCTGAGCTCCAGGAAGTGTAAACATCCTACACTCTCGGCGTCTGGCTCCTGGTGGCCGGGAGTGGGACTGTTTGCACTGCCTGACTCAAGAACTCGACTTTCAGCTGAAAAGAAGAGTTGAATTTGATTAGTTTTGGGTTAAATCACATTCCAGTGAAGAATTTCAAGTTGAAAATTATTACATTATTTATTCTGCAAATTTTCTTTGTGTTACTTTGCTTTGTATGTATGTGCATTTCTCTGTAAAATAAGTTAAGAAAAACTTTATTGATCTCCGAAGGGAAATTTGGTATATTCAGTCATTTTTCTTTTTATAGATACAGTTTGATTGAACAGAAAGTCTTTTTTTAAGCTCAAAAAACTAGTCTAACCACACAAAGATTGTGAGGCCTACACTGACTATCAGTGTCATGTGTTTTCCATTTGTGTTTCATTTTTCAGCAGCATCAGAAAGCACATCATCAGTGTTTAAATTGAACTGGCCCGAGTAAATAAAGACTCCACTAATGCATTAACTTCAGGATTAGTGCAATTTCTCTCTGACATCCTTGGTTGAACTGCTGGGGAATGCTCGACATTCAGGACAGGAAGCAGGGAGCGGCACGTCTCTGATTGGCCGATTTCCCTGACCCAGCGACCTCGGTCATGGCTGTCCCACTGGGGCAGGGACACACACAAACACACATATCAGAGTGTGTGACAGGGTCCAGGGAAAGGACAAAGTGGAGGAAATGAGGACAAAAATGATGAAAGGAGTGAAATGACTGCACAGTTTTTTGTTTTTTTTTTTCTCAAATGTCACCATTAAAAACTGCAGGGATTTATTTTTAAGTCTAAAATCCTCAATAAAGTGTTGAAAAAAGTCCTGTGTGAGGCATGTGTGTCTGTGTGTTTGTCTGGGGGCTCTTTGGCATGTTTCATGGCAATAGGAGGAAAGACGTACTAAGGAAGTAGGTGAAGTGGGTGTTTTCTCTCTTTGTACCATCTGCTATTCTGGTACCAAAAATATACAGTCTGTTCTAAATAGATAAACAGTCAGGATGCGGCTGAACAAGAGAGAAAATTCAGAAAATGTATCAAAGCCTAGTCTAAATAAACTATGACAGCAGGCTGAAAACTGAAAGTTTAAATCACTTTAATTTCTACTCATAACCACAAGAGGGCACACCAGCCATGCAAGAAGCTCCCTGTATGGATCCACACAAGTCCTGCTGTAGTATCTTACCAATCTTGTTCCATATTGAAGTTTTTTATGAATGAAAACTTAGATTTATCCCCTGTGTTTGGTCATACTGCACAGTTTTATCTGAGTCCCCTGTGCCCATTTAAAGCCACATTTAGAGAAATCTCATTGCTTTTCAAACCCTTTAACTTGTAATAAATGACTCAGGGTAGGGTCAGGAAGGTGGCCGGAGGCTGCAAAGGTCTGTTACATAGTGTTTTTTTTACAAAGTATATTTGGTGCTAGGACAATCCACAAATTTGGAATAATTATAAACAGTAGTTAAAGGAAAGCTAGGATGTATGCAGCGTTGCCATTTTCAAATTTAACCCCTTGGTGTAGTGGGATTTTACAGTAAAGCTGCAGTCAATACGGTTTTCTCTACATATCAATTTTTCTTGATGCTTGGGTCCTTCACAGGTGTGACATGATACAAACTTTTTATTTTATTTTATTTTATATTATGGGGAGTAATGTGAGATTAGATGAACTCCAAGTCTCCTAAGTAGTGGATAAATGGGGAAAATCTGAGTCAACAGAGAAAAGCGATTATATTAGTCTGGCTCCAAGGCTAACATTGGAGTCTCATTATCATTTCAGTGTTTAGTGTTTACTCCCTCTCCAATTCCACATGGTGAATTTTTGAGGCTATAAACTAGTGCAGCCTGTTCTTACAGAGACAAAAAAAAAAAGATTTGGGGGTAAAAGTACTTTTTTAAATCAAGACTATACTTTGTTTAGTACTTAAAAAGTTGCTGACAAAGTTGTATTAAACTAAATTTTAGCTTATTTTGTTCTGAATTAATTCGAACTTCTTCAAACTTCCATGGTAATACAGCTAGCTAATCAAGAGTCAAGCAAAGTCGGACAAAGTTCATGGCTTAATTTATCGCTCTGGGTGAGAAACGCATGCTCTTTGTTGAAAACGGAGGCTTCACCTGCCTGTTTTCTGCTCGCTGGTGGGGGAAGTCTTGATGCGTCCAATTCTGCATTATTTTCTTCGAAATCACTCAGAGACATTTTAATCTCCTAAAGCACCTCCCCCAGTGTGCTGATGAATGAATGAAACACTAGAGAGCACTAGAAACCCTAAAAAAATGAGCTGATGCAGATTTTTCCATCAAACACATTCAGAGAGAGTTCCTGTGACAGCGTTGTCTGACTGTACAGATCTAAAATGTCGGTAAATGTTCGGTCAAAAGTGCAGAAAACTCGTGTCTTCAGTCTGACAGCTACAAATCGAGTGGCTGAGCTGTTTGGTGCAAAAGGCGGATGTGATCTGAGATTGACGGGTGTTACAACCAATCAGAGGTGATAGCATTTTTCCACCATTTGCGCAGTAGCATTGTACACGTTCGGCGGGAGAGTCGCTGTGATGACGCTCGGCTCAAACAGCGAATGCCCGGGTGAGCTACGCGATTTTTGTACGCCCATAGGCTGTATCAAGTGTCATCATAGAAAACATGAACCCCCTAAAATACATAAATATTCCATATACAGTCGACTCTACGCCCGCCAATTCTTTGTCTTCTCTCATCCGGCTAGCGTCCCTGCACCCCGTGTCTTTCGTCTGAAAATATTGGTAAGTATCCAAATCATGGTTGTTTGTGCCGTTGGTGTACATTTACGTTAAATTTTAAAGGTTGTGTCGTCAAGACGAAACATATTAAGCTGTTATTACCGATGCTAAGCATGCACTGCTTTCAAGCAGCTAGGCTAACTAATTAGCATCGAAGGGCGCCTTTCGAATGATCGGGTCCAGGTAAGGGAGAGCACCCTCCGTTTTTTTGTACTACCACCTCAGCTCTGTGCCAGCCGAGGCGACCTTCCAGCGGCTCCGCGCAAACCGGTGGGTGGGGTGGGGGTGGTGGTGTGCGGTGGCTCTCGGCCGAACTTCCACCAGGGTGTGTCGGCGGTGACACACCCAGTGGAATCTGACTGTCCAATTAAGGACGCTGCTCCTTAGCGCTGATTGGTTGTGAGGCAGACTGCTTCTCGTGAGGCACGCTCCACGAATAACGTTAACGAGCCTAAACAAAAATTAGTCTGCTACATTATCAGACAGTAGAAACCAACTACAAAGTATGGATAATTGTCTTCCTTATTTGGTCACGACTGCCAACACAAGCAAGAAAACGAAGTAAATACCGGAGACTCTGGCGGAATAACAGGCGTTAAAAATGGAGGTAGACCACTAGGACAAGAGCTAAAAAGCCGGGTCTATGTCAGTAAATGCTTTGGGATCTTACCTTTCTGCAGGACAGGCAAACTGCTTTAACAAAGTAAGTCAAGTATCTGTAACAGAAATGTTTCTTGTCAAACGGGACTTGTTGCATGTTGTAGCATCGCTAAACTGTTTACCTCGGGTCCTGGAGTATGTCACTTTATCCTAGTTGTAGAAGTCCTGCAAACAATGTGTTTACTGGTAGTCTGTTGAGCTCCATTTGTAATTATCTTAAGTATTAATCTGCATTATATCTGAATTTAACTGGAACAATACCAGCGAGCAGGAGCGTCTGTTTGTGGGCGGGGCTTGCTTGAGCAGAGAGGGAGGGGAGAGGAGGAGCTGAGGGGAAAACTTGTTGGGAGGGGTAGAGTTTATATTCAAGAGATTCAAGATCTCCCCAAAACTGGCATGTCCTCAGATCTTGCCTACCCCACCTTTAAGAAAATAAAACCATAAGGATAGAAACTTAATGTAGACAATGGTGGTGGCAAGGTCATGATTGGGGGGTAGAACGCCTTTTTTTGCACCACCTATGTTTTTGAAAAAAGCTGAAAAACTAAAGCCAAGGTTTAGTGTGCTCATTATACAGCAACATGTTTTGCACACCTGATGTTTTTGCTCTGGTCTATTTGGTTTTCTGGTAACTTTCAAGCCAATGTGAGCTCAGGGATCCTGTTGGTGCTTAACACTTTATGAGAAACTCAGCAGCTTCCGTCTCTGCAGCATGAAAAACTAAAGCCAAAGTTCGTCTTTTTTTTAATCCTGCAGCTGATGGTCGCTCTCGACGCCCTGAAGGGTCTGGGGATTGTACACTGCCACATCAAACCAGATAACATCATGCTACTCAGTTGGAGCCAGCCCTTCAGGGTGAAATTGATTGATTTTGGAGAGGCGGTTCCAGTATCTAAACTCCCACGGGGTCACTTTTTTCAGCCTGTTGGATACAGGTGGGTTCATCCTGCAGCTCAGGGGTTAAAACAGAGGAGTTTGACTCTTGATAAAGTCTCCTGTGTCTGCAGACAGACTTCTAACCTGTTGTGTGGTTCTTCTTCCTCCTCAGAGCTCCAGAGGTATCCTTGGGCCTGCCCCTCACGGAGGCAATCGACATGTGGGGGGTTGGCTGTGTTTTGGCCTCCCTTTTTTTGGCAGACAACCCATTTCCAGTGGACTGTGACTATCTGATGGTAGGTGACCTTCTTCACACACAGAGCAGACTTTCTGCAGACCCTCCCCTGACCGTCTTTTTCTTTATTTCTTTCTGCAGATGAAACACATAGTCATAACGTTGGGCCAGCCTGAGGACCACCTGCTTGCCGCTGGTGAAAACACCCACCGGTATTTTAAGCAGGACCCCTGGTGGAACCTGGAGGATCCGCTGGCATGGAGGCTGCTGGTAGAGAAACCATGTTCCTCTTTCTTTGTAAAATCACCTCTCTCAATCACTTTGAAAAAACTGTCATCTGACACATTTTGTTTCTACAGACACCCAGAGAGTATGAGACAGAGAATTCCAGGCGCGCCTTCCTGGATGACACAGAGCCTCTGAGATCTCTGGAGGATCTGGCTCATGTAGGTCCTCTCTACTGTGTTTTAAAGACAAATCAGAAGTAGTTAGTGAACATCAGCTGACCTGAATCTGTCTCCAAATTTCAGATCTATTCAGACGGTGATGCTGCAGAGATGGAGGACAGGTTGGCTTTCGTAGACTTCCTGAAAGATCTCCTCCATCTCGATGGGGCCAAAAGGATCTCTCCTTCTACAGCTCTGCAGCACACTTATCTGACCATGAGTCACCAGGTGATGTCTCCAGAGACCACAGATGAGTAATTGACTGTGTGGATGAAGCAAAGCAAGGCAGCATTATTTTTTCAAGCTCCATTCATGCACAGAGGGATTCAGATGCTTTACAGAGATCAAAACAAAAAGTTCAGAGCATTCAGAAAGAATCTGATATTTAACATGCACACAGACATCTGTCTCACTGGCTGTATTGATGATTGATTCACTGATTGATCTTCACCCTTTTCCTTCTTGAACAGCACCACAAGTGTGATGGGGAGCTCACCAACCCCACACCAGCAGTCAGCCCCAACAAGCGGCCATGAAACTGAGGACAGTGGTCTTTCTGTTGAAGAGGAGCCACCTCAAGATGCAGACTGCCTCAGTGAGGGTCAACTGGTGGAGTCTCCCTTTGCCCTCTCAGCATCCAGCTCCATTTTTTCGGCCTTTGACTCTACCTCTTTGGTGTCAGAGGGAGACTCTGTTGAAGAGGAGCAACCTCTAGATGCAGACTACCTCAGTGAGGGTCAACTGGTGGAGACTCCCTTTGCCCTCTCAGCATCCAGCGCCATTTGTTTGGCCTTTGACTCCGCCTCTGTGGTGTCATACTCTGTGGTGTCAGACTCTGCCTTTCCATGGTCAGACCACAGTTCTCTAGGCCCAGACTCTGTCTCTCTGGCCTTAGACCGAACCCCTCCAGCCTCAGACTCCGCCTCTCCGGCCTCAGCCTCTGCCTCCCTGGCCTCAGCCTCCACCAGCCGCAGCAGGAACCTACTGAAGAGGGTCCGAAGCTTCTTCAGCAGGTTGAAGATGGCCCTCTGTTGCTGCTGTCGGGCAGAGGAGGACTAAATCTTCCTCTCCTGCCTCAGACCAAAGAAGCCTTAGCTTCTACCTCCCCTCCCCAGCCTCAGACCTTGCCTCCTGGGCCTCAGACTTCACAAATCCAGCCTTAAACCCTGCCTTTCGACCTCAGGCCTCACCTGTCCTGCCTTAGACCTCACCTGTCCCGCCTCAGACCACACAAATTGGGCCTAAGCCTCTGCCTCTTGGGCCTCAGACCTCACCTGTCCAGCCTCAGACCTCACCTGCCCTGCCTTAGACCTCACCTGTCCTGCCTTAGACCTCACCTGTCCTGCCTCAGACCTCACCTGTCCTGCCTCAGACCTCACAAATTGGGCCTAAGCCTCTGCCTCTTGGGCCTCAGACCTCACCTGCCCTGCCTTAGACCTCACCTGTCCTGCCTTAGACCTCACCTGTCCTGCCTCAGACCTCACCTGTCCTGCCTCAGACCTCACAAATTGGGCCTAAGCCTCTGCCTCTTGGGCCTCAGACCTCACCTGTCCAGCCTCAGACCTCACCTGTCCTGCCTCAGACCTCACAAATCAGGCCCAAGTCTGTGCCACTCAGGCCTCAGACCTCAAAATTCTGGTCTAAGCCTCTGCCTCTCAGGTCTCAGCCGAGGAGGACTACAACTTTTATTGTGTTTTTTAAATAAAATGTGTTTGTTGTTTGTACTGAAATGTCCTGACACAGACCTCCATTTCTTAATCCAAAGGTTACTGAAAACTAAATGTTTAACACGAACACTAAACTTTAAACCCTGGATAACACCTGGACCAGATTTAGAGAAGTCTGAAATGTCACTATGGTGAGACTATCTGTGGCATATGAACAGTTACAGAGGGGAAAATGAACCTTTCTTTAACTCTTAGGGTTTTAAAAAACACGATAACTGCAAACTGCTCCATATGAGCCATTCTCAAAAAGTTCAAACATTTTCAACATATTTTTTTTGACAGTCACTTGATGTGACGAGTTTTCTTTATTCTTGAGGTGATATTTACCAATTCTGAAACTACTGACACTTAGTGACAGTGTGAAAAATTACTGCATTTTCAAGACTTCTCCACTAGATGGTGCTGCGCAAGAGTGAGTCTTCATAACTTCAGGTTTGTTTGACCTCAGGGTTGTACGACCTTCCTCTAAGTACTCCTATGAAGTCTGTCAAGGTAAATATATTTAGCATATTTAAAAAGAACCATTTTTGACCAGAAAAGAGCTGAAAAGGACTTCAACAAATCATCAAATAAAAATCAAATATGTATAAAATGAACAACACAACAGGTTAAATCAAAGAACATAAGATGTCAAACATTACATTTAAAAGAACAATCAAAGCCAGTATGTTAAGGAAATATGTTAGTTATATCTGATTGTCATACCATTGTAATTTCGTTGTTGTTTGAGTGGCATTAACTGAATTGTAACTTGGGAACTAAATGGTATATGACTGTCTGTGGTGGCCAGCAGCTATATTTTTGTTTTATTATATATATTTTTTGTTGTGTTTTGTTCATGCTGTTGTTGCTTTTTTTTTTTTTTTAAATCATTATTTTAAGTTTGTTTGTTGTAAATTGATTTCTGGGGATAAAGGGGCAGATAAAATAAGATTAGTCTTCTTTCTGTTCCCTTTCATTCTAGATAGGAGAATGTATTTAAATTTAATTGTTCCTTTTGATTTTTAAATGAATGAAATAAAGAATAAATAAATAAAATAATGGTAATAATTATAAGAATAATAATCATCACTCTCATTATCATCATCATTATCAGTGCTGTTTGCTCTCTCCCTCTGCTACAGATATTTTTTCAGGGTCAGAGAAGCTGGTCACATTGAAAAAATAATGATCTGAAGTTCCTGTTTTCGGCACACCAAAAAGCAGAAGTGGACTCTTTCTGCAGCTTTAGTTTCTGCCTCAAAACAGAGGGCAGGGAAAGCCCCCGAAACTATGACTGAGCCCAGTTTCAGCCTGAACAAAAGCAGAACCACAACAACTGAACAGACTGCAGATAGGGTTTTTCCATGCACAGACTGTGGCTATTGTTGACGAATAATGATCATTTTAGATGATACAAAATTTAATAAGTTATAACAGCCTATCTTGGACTTGCAGGATTGAAAGTGATTTCACTGCGTAAATGCGGTAAAATAAGGGATCAAAAGTCATTCATCCACTTCTGAGAAGTTGACATTTGGAGACATGAAACCTGCAGAAGTTTTTTTTATATCCTCAGACAGCTAAAAGCTGTCCTGTCCTGAGCAGATGTTCTGCTTCATCAGCTGTGAACACCTGAATGATGTCACACTTATCTACAAATATTCACTTCATGTGTCTGAGTGAATCAACATGCTAAGAATGCACCACGCTTTTTTTTTTTTTGTCCATTGCAGTAGATTGTAGTAAGTATTTAAACATTGCAGCATAGCAGGATTACATTTAAAATACGACTGAGTAAAGTACAGATTTTTAATTCAAAGCGTAAAGTATAGAAGAGATGAGAACTAAGAAGCTCTGTCAGTCTTTACAAACTCTTTAAATGGATCTGGTAGCATTAATTTTATTTTAGGTCTATTTATTCAGAGGATACCAAGAAGAGGAAGAACCTCGGGCTGAGTTTGGTTAAGAATTTGATGATTTACAGAACTAACTTCATGAAAAATGTTGATGCTTCAAGTTTAACCGCGTAGATACAGAAACAACAAGAACATTGCATGGCCACAATATAAAAATACTTGATATTTAATGATTCAAACCTTTCAAAAAGACACTGCCTCAGTTTTTTTTTTTAGAAATGTGGAACTTAAGTGTGTGGAGATATATTTCCTCTGGTTCCTCTGGTTGTGGGTACAAAAGATCTGAATATTTCAGCAAAGAAATATTTGGTCCATAAAGGTATTATGAAGTGGGTGATCCATGTTCTTTAGATCACACCTGATTCAAATGATTAGCTCGTTATTAAGCCATTACAGAGCTTGATAACGAGCTGATCATTTGAATCAGGTGTGTTGGAGCAGGGAAACATCCAAAACATGCAGGACAGTGGGCCTTGAGGACTGGACTTGAGAACCACTGCTTTAGAATAACCTCCACCTTCCTCAGTGTACATCTCTCCACCACATCCTCCAGTGAGTCCAACTTGATTTCAACCACAGAGTCAAATTTTCACCGGTTTGTTGTTCAGACGTCTTGCATCGTTGTGTTTTTTCTGCCTCCCCAGCAGACTGAGGCATATAACAGAACACTGCAGACTCACTACAGATGTCTATTGAATGGAGTCTTCTCAGGCTCCTTTTTGAAGATGAAGTCTATGCTAAGCCTCTCAAAAAGAAGATCTCTGTTGTATTACATTTATGGCCTTTAGACATAGTGGTGTTACAATCATAGTGATGGGATTACCAGTCTCCAGCTGTGTTTTAAGTCTCATGATCTTCCCTGAAGTTTGAGAGAGGAACAGAAAATGTGAAATATCTCTTTAAATGTACTGTGGCGTTCTGCAGAACACGCTGAGGGGAAATAGAAGAGGAGAGGACAGGAAGCACATGGAGACACCATCTGTTGTTGGCCAACAATGCTATTAAAAAAAGAGAGCACAACTGAGGAGATGATCACTCATACGCAAATATATGAGAAACAAAAAACAAACAGAGTGAAAATACAGAGTGTCAACAGTGTGGGCACATATCTATCTGATCAGAATGATGTACAGTCCCTCAGACAAACATGCAAAACTGTTCAAGATAAAAAAAGAAACAGAAACATGAAAAAGGAAATGATAATCAGCCTCGTAAGAATATTACAGTTTGTCATATTAATACAACATTAAATTTGGGGATGCCACTTTAAAAAGAAAACACAGTCAGTGCTCAAGGGCTGTGAAGACAGGTCACAGATATTTTCTCATCCAAAAGATGCCCAAAAACAGACGGAAGTTTTGATATTTTTTGAAAAATAACCACTGATAACGTCTTTGTAAACAAAGGTCAGTACAAGCTGGATTTGTGTCACGACTGTTACTGAAACTCAGAGCTATTAAGTATCATTGTAACAGCAGCTTATACGACAAATAATAGCCACTAAAAGCTATGCCAGTAAAGGCATAACTTTCAGGTTGATGTGTAAAAAGTAACACCCACAAGCTTTGTCTGACTTAATGTCACTAGAAAAGCAGCTAAAATTAAGTGTTGCTATTCAGCCAGACGCTGAAAAGCGCTGAATTGAGAGGCTTCACAGATGCTAATAGGGGATAAATAAGGAGTTCTTCAACTGCAATTGTGAGAAAGTTAGTCGGTAGTTTCCCTGACAGTACAGTCAGTCTCCTGTCACATTTAATTTCCATGTTTTGACTGAAATGCAGCCTTGTTTCTGACTCCTGTTTTCATAAGTCAAACTGCCTTTGTTGATCCTCTGGGAAAAAACTCCTTGTGCCCATTTGGAAAAGGAAATACATTAAGATGCATGACAGCAATGTGCAGAATAAAACTTATTACAGTGATTAAACATAGACCTCACATTGTTTCAGTTGTTTGATTGTTTTAACTTTTGTGTCTCGCAAGAAACTTCAGTCAGACAAATCTTTTCAAAGACAGCAGATTGACCAGAGTAAAGGTCTGATTCAATATAGCAGGAAACAGGACTTTGAAACTAACTAAGAGATGACTTTCAAATGACCAAGTAATACACTGATAACACACTGATACACCAGTGTCATGTTTGTGAAACTACTTGATGCCGTCCAGTTTTCATCGTTGATCAGAACAAAAGGTTGCTTGAGTTGCTAATAAAGGAAGTCTCAGAAGTTGAGTTTCACCCACTGCTGATGACAACTGACGAATGGAGAAGTTGGCCTTTTTTTCCCAGATAAAACCTTTGCGATGAGAAGTTGGACAATCAGTCCCCAGGTTGACCCCTGCCTTAATTAAGTATGTCCTTAGATGTACAACACCAAAAAGTCAGATTTAACTTGATATTTGTTCAGCAAGAAAGTGGAAAATGGAACCAAGATACAATACAAGACAGAGAGGGGGTATTATTTATTTGTTTGATTGATTAGGATAAAAGTACCATGCATGTATAACTCCACTATCACCGACCCTAAAGGGCCGCTTTTTCATGCTTAATGTATCAATCAACAATAAACCAGTCATAGTTGGTAATATCTATGGCCCAAACATTGACAATCCATCCTTGGGGCAGGAGAGTAGCTGTAATGACACTCTGCTCAAACAGCGCACTCCCCTGATGTCCTACACAATGTCCATCTATAGACTGTATGCAAGTGTTGCTCATCAAATATGACATCATTTGTCATTTTTATAACCCCTAATAACTTTTAAAAAATAGAGCTGTACAGAAAAAAAGGATTTGAGCACAAACCAGTATAACAATAACTACAGGTCAACATCTTAACCTTGGGGGAGAAAAAAATATATTACTTGTATTTAATTTTTCAAGTTTTTTAAGAGGAGGCAGGGTTTATGATTTATACAGCAACCAGTCACCAGGGGGTGCTGTTCTCACACAGCCGTCACCCAGCAAGGAGGCAGATGACCCATACTATATAGTCTATGGTGCCATTGTTTTATTTAACTTTGTCCCTTTCAACCTCTTCAATATACTATAAACACTTCACCTGTCATGATCATAACCTTCATCTTTACTGCAGAGTTTGATTTAATTCTGTCATTTCCTAGTTCCACTCCCTAAGTGCCCTAATATATCACAAGACAAACACACACACACACAGACACACACACACACACACACACACACACACACACACACACACACACACACACACACACACACACACACACACACACACATGCTTTCGCGCTTACCCTACAAACAGGGGACTATCATGCCAGACTGATCAAGAGTGGACCCCTATTTCTGGTCATTTTAATAAAACAAAAATATTTTCTTGTAAGGTCTTTTACCTTAATGTTACTTAAAATGTGACTTTTATATCAATATATATTTTTTAAATTGCCAAGAGGGGACCTGGATCCTTGAGTGAGATCTACCTGTCTAACAGGGGACCTCCATATACGGCAGTGGAGCTGTCTGAACCCATTCACACTGCTGATGAGAGCTTGTTTACCACGACGACTTTCTTTGTTCCTTTCAAGAATGGCTGATTTAACCTATATGTGATAATTATGTAAACATTTCTCTCTGAGAAAAATAATTAGAAAATATTTGGGCCCCATTCATTCTGTGGATTACACACACACACACACACACACACACACACACACACACACACACACACACACACACACACACACACACAACCTTCAACACACCAGTCATGAACAAGCATGTATACTTATGTTAAGTCCTAGTTTGTTTTTGTCTTCTGTGTTTTCGTTGTGGTCTAATGTGTTTCACAAAGTACCTCTTTTGTCTATATTTCTTTTGCATCACTGTTAAATAACTTTTAAAATTTTGAAAAAAAAAAGAAACACCTTCACATGATGTGACATTGATGTGTAAAAATGTACTTAGTGATGCTGGGACGATTATTACACTTTTCTACGTGTGTTAGAAACCTGCTCATTATCTGCTTTCTGTTGCAGGCAGGTGTGCTCATTAAAATGATGCTTTTATCGCTCAGCGTGAGAGACAGGAAAGCTGTTACCTGCTGTCTACTGGTTAGCTGGATGAAGACGTGATGACACAATTAACTGTGCTGATGGATTCAAAACACACCTTGGATCTAAGTAGCTCAAAGAGGAGGGAATTTTCTCCCTAATTCAACATCACTGTGGATATTTCTAACTCATCATTCTACTGCGTACATTCCTTTGCTAACAATATCAAAATATCACTGTCCTGTTGCAGCAACTTTGTTAAAGTTGTGTCTCAAGGAAACTAGTCTGTAATTGTGGTCATATCTGGTAGTTTGGCTCCATTTTGAGAGCTCCAGATATTGGTGAAGACTGAGAAAGCATAAAGTGAGTGCCGTCTCCTGTGTTTTACTGAAACTTGGTTGAATCTAAACAACTGAAAACTCCAGTGTGGATCTACCTGGCTTCACTCTCAGAAGATCAGATTGTTCAATTTCCTCCATACCTTGAAGTGGTGCTCCAGATTTCTACAAGAGATTATATTTCAACCAAACCATTTATCACATTACAACACTCAGTGCAACTCCAGTGCAGTTAATTTGTGTTTACCAGTCTTTCAAACCATGTGCTCATCATATATTTTGTGTTTGTGTGAGGATGTTGTAATTTATCCTTCCAGAGTTTTCTCATCAATGGCAGCAAAGACAGGTGAGTGGAAGCATTAGACACCACTCCTCATGGAGACAGACAAGCAGCAGTTTAGCCGCAATAAGATTCCACACAATACAGTATAGAGTTGATGTTCTGTCACATTTTCTGTCTGCTTAAATCCTCTCCTGATGGCTTCAAAACACTCTTCTCATTATTTTCCATCTTCTCTGTGGGAAAATCATCTCTTGTTCAAGGGAGTTTTTCAGTCTGTTTACCGTTCATATCCTGTAAGACTGCTATAAAGCCTCTGGAGCTCTTCTCGCACCGATTTTAATCCAGTTATTCAGCTGTAGAAGATCAACTATAACAGATGTGTCCTTGTTTAGAGAGAACCAGAGTGTTTCTCCTCATTGTCTCAGCTCTGGAAGCTGCAGGGATCACGTGACTGATTGAATACCTTACAATACTTAAAAACTACTGCTCTGCAAAGAAGAACTGCATGATGCTTGTCCAGTCTTTATCAACAGTCATCTGTATGTTCACATACATGTGAATACATGGTATTTGAGAGGCTTTTCTTGTGAATAGGAGCTGCCCATGTGAAGAGCAGAGGAGCTTAAAAAACATCAGGCAAAAACACAGTTTTAGAACCAGCTGGAGAGCAATGGGTTAGCTTTCATCAGCCTCTTTAAAACAGACCAACAGCAGTGGAAAATCATATTTGCATAATCCAGTTTGACTAGGTCTAAAGGAAGTAGTGTGGCGTTTGTACAAGCTTTTGTAAATTTGGAAGCTGTTTTAAATTTAATTTCACTCTTTTACATGAGGATTTCTGTTAGTTTGGCCACATTCCTTATATTCATTGCCGAGTTTAAATTAGTCATAACTTGCTAAATACTTTCTCTACTCCATTTGGCAATCTTAAAAGCTTCTAACACATACTGGTTCATGTGTCTCATATTTCCTTTTGTTCTCAATGGTTAGGACTAAAGTTCATTTTGTTCTGTTTTTTTAAGGCGTTGCAGGATGGTGTAAAGGTGTGTCACATTCAGCTGGTCTGAGACATGGTGCCAAAGCCTGATTTCAGACCTTTCCCAGCCCTGATCTTCTGCAATAACTTAAAAGGTACAGGTGATAAAAGCTCAGTGGGTGCAAATGGTCCCTAGTTGGACAGCCTGGGATCAATCAGAGCAGGACTCATCCTGCTTTACATCCATTCAGTTTGCTCTTGAATAAAACTAAATAGGACTTAAACCTTTTGTGTTGTGTCCCTTATTACAGCATTAGAGCCAGCCATAACACCTCAACCTTTAAACCAAAAGCTAAAACTAATGTTTTTTTCCTCTCTCAAATATGGCACCTGTCTTTTTCTCTGATGGAGTCTTTTGACTGTGTTTCAGTCCAGGCTTCAGTCTCATGCAGGGCTGTGTATGTTGCATTGATGCGGATATTAATATCGCATTAGTTCCAGTCAGATTAAAAGGATTTTACGTCAGCGATGCCTCAGAAGTCAGGCAGATAATCTTAGTTATATTAAGTATTTGGAAGTGAATCTCTTTGCATGCCAAATCCCTTGCTGTGAGTTTATTTAAGCGTGATAGCTGTTCAGCCGTTGGCAGACAAACTGAGGCTCTTTTACCTCAACCAATGAGATTATTTCAGCCTCCACAGCAGCTCTGTGTGTGCAAATGCGTGAGCCAGATTTCATTAGAAAGTACAGGGATATAAACACTCCAAAGTGACAAAAGTCTTCATCCACATTCTCATTTTTATTTATGTAGAGTGGCAAATTCACATTTTAGGGTAAATGTTCAGTTAATGTGGCAAAAGATTGCTTAAAGATGAAAGCATAGTGAATATTTTTCAATGAAACAATCACATTATAATCAATGAGCTCAATACAACTACAAGTAGTATATATTACTAATCTGTCCTCATCAGAGTACCAGTCCTGTTGTTACTGTACATTAATACTCATACTGTATATGATTATAATGCAAGAATAATGCAAATATCAAAATGCTATACAAAAAAACAGGATGTACAGGACATGAGTTGGGAGAGACAACATTCAAAAACATAAAAAATACAAAAAAGGCACTTAAGAATATCAGACGCACACATTCTCTCACACATACATATACTGTATGTACACATACTAAAAATTCAGATACTTGAGCCCATGTTATCACACGATTCACCTGAAAAGTTAGTTTTACAATTATATCAGATACACTTGGCTGGGGAGCAATGGAGAGACCTTGTTAGCTTACAATAAAAAAAGGCTTCATTCTACTGGAAGAGCAGCTGGAAACTCCAGCAAAGAATCATCGCTGTCTCATATCTCACATGGCTTTGATTTCATATAAAACTATTTACTGCAACCAGAAGGTCGCATCAATAAACAAACATAATCAAACGGGGTTAGATCAAAGTCAGATTGAAGTATCTCAAAACCTGAGACCTGTTCACTGAGGTCTAAATGACACGTGTGACACAGTTTTTGGTGTGTGGTTTCTTAAATTTGTTTTGAATGATAAGTTTGGACCCAACCCAATGACCTCATGTCAAAGTAAGTGCTTTAAACTGCAGTTCCTCAAGTGTCCACTAAAGGCTGGTTCCTAAAGTAAGGAAATCCACACGCACACCCATTTTAACAAGTTCATTTTTACAGCAAAAATGAACATGTTCATAGCTGGGTACGAAAAAGATTTTAATCTGTGTAGCTTGTTTCTCTGTCTGCACACAGTAGAGGCATGGCTGACTTGACCTACAAGAAGGCATACCTCTTGCAAGGTAGACTCAAAGTTATCTAAGTCAGCATTTCAAAACGTCCAATCTGGCAAACACCAACACAAGCCTGCGAAACAATGATGAAATTGCACCTGCATAATGTGGGTTTAACCCCCCACTGTTGGACACATTTACCTGAAAAGACGACACTGCACTTTTTACAGCCCGATTGTGGCTGCTGGACCAAAAAACCCCCCACCTTTTTTCTTTTTATTTACACCCCAATATGTGTAAAATTAGGACTCAGGTTTAGAGATACAAAGACCCACTCTGTTAAATTCCCTGTACCTCGGCAATATTTGCTCAGAGAACCATGAGTGTGCACCTCCAATTAAAAAAAAAGATGACAAATTAAACACAGGCGAGCGGATGCCGAGCCTCTGATATGATGAGGGTGATGACATGGTGTCTCATCAACATCTCACATCAGAGCCGAGTGTAAATCTGAGGGAAATATGCTTCACTTCTTGAATAGGCTGCAAATCTTAAAACACATAAAAGCCTTTCCAATAAAGGACAGTTGAACATGCTAACAATGTGACCCTCGTTGAAGTGGAGTGTTGGGGAAATTTAACATTTAGGGGTATTTTTAAATGAAAACATATTATATAGAATGAATAATGAGGAATAAAGCCTGCTATATCACTATAAAGCATGGTTGGAAAGTCATAAATATTGCCAAATTATTGCAAAGTTAGGCAAGAGGAAAAATATTAATTTATTTCTATCTATAATCAGATTATATCTACATCTATTTCTGAACAGTTTGTAGAAACCTACTACAGCGCTTTCAACAGGAAGACACAGATTGTCAAAAAAGTGCAACACACTACACTTCACATTCGTTCACACTGACTTCAGTTACAGTTCAAATCCCATTTCCCTTAAGAGTTGAGAGCGGAGGGCTTCTAGGTGACACAGAACACTCTCCAAACACTGAAGAAATAAAACTTTTTTTTTTCAAAATTTAATGGTTGTTGGTTTGAGTGAGGTCACTGAGGTCAACTAAAAATTACTTCTTGGATTTGTTGACACAATTAACATGTTCGGTGGTTGAATGAGTAGCCTACTTACTGTGTATCTTTCACCTATACACAGTTTATATATGAGACTTGGTAATCCATCAAGCTGACTGAAGAGTTTTTGACCGCTGATAATGTGTGAAACTTGAGGCGTCACCTGTCGCGCAACGTCTGACACAAGCTCCAACGCTTCTTTTAACTCAAATAATACAAGCTTCGAAGCCTTGTGTGTGACGTCTATTTTTAACTGTTTCTCAGTAATAAAAGTTCACATCTTTTGGAAAGTTTCAGCCTTAATCCACTGGGAACAAATAAACATTTGGAGCCCCTCTGCTAACTCTGTCTGTTACAGGAATGGATTGGTCATATTTTAGGTGACAGATTAGACGCACAGTGGGGAATATGTGATGGATTTTAAAAGTCTGATACTCCACCTCAAATAATTTTGTCTTGTCATAGTCTCCTTGCAAGAACCAAACTTTTATTGGTCAGATTTTGTTTTCAGTGATTCATCATCTTTCTCATCACGGAGGAAAGAGTGGTTGACAAATGCTTATCGTCTGAATTTGTGTGGATAAAATAGACACTGGAGAGATGTAGCGTCACCTAAAAGCCCTTCGAGTCACCATATTTACACATGGGCCACTTTCCTCAGACATCACACTCTGAGGGGGAGGCCAATGTCTCACTGTTTTAGATTAACTGACACTTTCTAATCTGTGAAACACTATAAAATGTTAATGTTAGCTACTCTGAAATACAGCCCAAAGTCCTGTTCAGTCTAAAACTCTTTGTTGGAAGTCTTAATATGAGGATTTGTCACTTTTTCAATATTTAAATGACTCACAGCAAAGTAACATGCCATTGTCTTTTTGATAACAGCACACAAGCTTCCACTTCTGAGCTTGATATCACAGGAAAATGGACCCAGTGGAAATATGGTGATTTCTTATCTTTGATTTGAAGATATCTTATAACAAGTCATTTTTTTGTTTTGCTCTATAATTATGTACAATTTATCTTGGAGTAGCTACTTTCAGCTTTTGTATAAGAAAACTGCAGATAAATATTGAGTTACTCCTGAAATGATTAGCAACAAAGAGAGGATTTCAAGTTTAATAAATGTCATCAGAGTATTGCTATGATAAATTAGCCCACTCCTGTCCCTAACACACGCTTATATCTGTGTTCAGAAAATTCAAAAGAAAAGAAAGGATAAATAATTTCTCCTGATTTTCTTCACATTATTATTTCACTCTACAATGTCTGTACAAAGTCAACTCGGCTTTTTCTGAAATGCTTGATGATGACGCTGGACTTTGAATCTCAAAACTGTCTCCAAACTGACACAGCAACTCTTTCAATCTCAAAGTCCCAGTTTAAACGAATGAAATAAGGCAGTCTTCTAAGTTGTGTTGTGATCACATTTAGCCCTGATCTGAAAAAGCCTCGGGTCTCTTGTGATTTACATGGTTTTATTATCTAAACCAAGGCGAGTTTGTTTTCCTTTGTTCAAAACTACTGAGCGGATTGATCAGAGAAAGAAACACTTGATTGTTTTTATGAAAAGCCCTTAACCTGGATTGTTTCTAATGACACTCGAGTTTGCTCTATGAATGCGTTGTACTTGTTCTGTCTAGACTCTAAGTTTTTGTACCTACAGGGTGATCCAGAAGCTTTAAAAAGCTCTGAAATGAACAAAGATTTCTTTACAATCTAGCAAGCTGATTTAAAAACAGCTGTTTTGTTTTCTGGTAACAATCAGGCTCTACAAAGGAACAATCTCACTGTAGTCACTTATCTCTCCTCTTGCCCCCGCCATCATTAGCGCTCCTTCCAGCCCGCTCATACAGCCCGCAGAGCCCTTCAGCCCAGCTCCCACCATCTCCTGGCACATCATGGCATCATGGGAAGACACAATAATCCCGCTACTTGCAGTCGGGCTGCTCTCCTCTCCCCTCCTCTGTGGCTCCGGTGTCGGAGCAGGTGCTCTGATTCCACTACTTCCAGCACCCACGCTCCCTCCAACACCACCCCCACCCCGCCGTTTAGGGGGTGGGCCCCAGAGAAAAGCGTGGGCGGGCCTATAGTGCTGGCGGGCATAGCGGAGTAGCCGCCTCCGGGTGGCTGGCAGGCGGATGGTGTAGACAAAGTATTCCAGGACGCTGTGTTGCATGTTGGGAAGCGTGTTGTGGTACAGCGACTCCTCTAGAAACAGACGGACCAGCGGGGCTTTGAAGGCCTCGTAGCCAAGCTCGCCAAGGGACTTCAGGATGCGAGTGATCCGCAGGTAGTTGTGCTGGGACCTTAACAGGAAAAGCAGGAGGTGAAAAGGTTGTTTATTCTACATACTTCCCTTACCTATCGCTTAATTTAATTCCCCTATCCATTATTTCAGTGATTTACTGAGTCATCTACTTATACATCTACAAGTAGCCGTGTCCTCTTTTTGGGGATTCAGAATATGGTCACTCTAATGTATGTCCTGTGGTGACATAAGCACAATGCATGCCAGAAATGCTGTACAAAAAGTGTCAATTGATTTTTTTTAGACTCTCACTGAAGGTGGCATACATCTTTTTCTGTTATCAGAGACTCAATAAAATTTTGAGTTCACGGTGAAAACCTATAGTCTACTTTTTTTTTGGCATCGATATCGATATAATCTTATCAATTCCCATCCCTATGCCGAAGATTTCATGGAACAGGATACATCTAAAAACAACCCATTGGTTTAGGAGAGGGACATACTAAGGGTGCACTGGCAATTAATGAACTTGAGACTGATAAGTGGATCGAGTCTCTCTGCGGGAAACACTGCATGTTTATTATCGTTGTAATATTTTTAAAGACAGCAGCCTGATGAGCAAAAACAAAACATTTGCACGGTTGTATATTGGAAGTGTTTCCTGGTGACCCTTCAGGTGTGTTCATGGTTTTGAACCTACAATCGGCTCAAGGTTGGTTCATGCTCTCACTACAAACAATCCACACCAGAGTCTGAATACAGCATACTGAGAGCCACCTTTGTGATCCTGCTGTTTGGTCTAAACCAGGGCTAAAGTGATAGCCTGCCCTGAACTAATAACATGCACAATTTAGTTCCTGTGGTTTCCTACTAAATGAAATTGTTACACTATTTCTGATTGTCACGAAGCCCCAGAAGGAATCAAACCTCAGTGCATCAGTTGCAAAATGTGATGTGAATATTTACAAGAAAACTAGGTTATCATATCAAATTGAACTCTAGAGCTTTGCGATCATTTTTCTCTCCATATTGTTTGGATTGTGGTTACATTAGCATCAGATGCTGAGGCTGTGCATGAAGGAGCACAGCAACCGTGATGGGTAGGAGAAAAACATCCCGACATGTGACTTTCAGGAGGTTCTTTGGGAAGAAAACAGCCACTAAATTAGCTTTTAGCCATCTGTTTGTTTCTGTGCACATGTTGTTTCACATTTGGATGCTGATAGAAGAACTATTAAGTTGCATCGCATTTAGTATAATGGTCTTACTAACGGACACAAAAGCAGCAATTGGCAACCTAACTGTGTTCACACAAATTCTGGCTCCAGCTTTATGCCCCTAAGCTGCTGCACAATGTGTGTGTCTGTGCGTGTCTGTTTATGTGTGTGTGTGTGCTCACTCATTAAGGTGCTGGAAGCGCTCCTGCCAGTTGGAAGCCCGAGCTACATTCCCGCTCTTATCCAGCAGTTTGATCCCATAGAAGTCCAACATGATGGAGTACGCTGCCAGAAATCTGCGCTTGGCTTCCCGGGTGCTTTGGAATTCCTGACAGGGTTACACACAATGGATCAGAGACAGCACACAGGTACCAAACCACCTTTCTGCTTGGCACTAACACAAACTGGGTAGCAGGTACATATAGGAGCTATACGTAAATGCATTTGACTCTTGCCCAACACTTGTTTTCATTCACTGAGAGCACAACAGTATTCCTTTTATTCCAGGGACCTTGCTATTTAAATATAGTATGTTTTTAATAAAAATCTGAAATTGAAAGATCAGCCAGCAAACCGAGTGCAGCGGAGTTGTTCAATGAAGAACATATATGACTATTACTTCATGGAAATATAATCGGACTGAGAAGCTAAGGCAGAAGAACTACCGTGTCAGCAGTGCAAAATGATTAATATGATGATTATTAATTCATGGAAATGATCCGCTGCACTCGGTGATCGACTCGTCAGGGCTCCCCCCACAAACAAGCGGCGGCTGGAGGAGAGTGGGTAAGTTGCGTTTGGTCTCTCAGGCTTGAGATCAGCTGCAGAGTCCAGTAATCCGCAGCGGAACGGAAAGAGGCCAGTGGAAACTGACACATTAACTTGAATGGTTATGATCAGCTACGATCGGCGGATATGGCCTTATCGTTCCATTCCAGATGCAGTGGAAATTGCCTGTAACTCGTTGTTACAGTGTGTTTGACCCTTACTTAATTTTATGCTGGAATATCCCTTTAACCCAAAGTTCAAAGCAGAAACTAACATGTTTACAGCCTGTCACAAAATCTGGTTCAGGTCTTAGTTGCTCATTTCATTATTTTTTCTGATGTACTGTATCCTTATCTGTTTTGATAGCATTGAGGCCAAGAGTTAGACACAAAATTTCACATGTAGGGGCATTTGAGTTTTGAGGCAGGTGGGTACATTGGTGCTGTTTCATCTCTAACTGGGAAATGTCTCTCTGTTGGGATCAAACTTGCTTAACAATCTCTCTGAAGATGATACTTCGCCTGTCTCAAGTGTCATAGTACAGTAGGTGGTTATTTTAAATGGGGAAATTTACATGGATAAAAGGGGACATTATCTAAACAGACGCATCTGAAAACTTCAGATAGCTTGTAAACGTGGTGCTGGGATTGTGCCAGTTGGTTTATAAGTTTGTCTTACTTTGATCTCGTCCTGAGTCAGTTCATGTGCGTAGAAGTTGAGCCCTTGTTCTCTCAATGGGAACAGCCTGGTGGGCAGAGAAGAAATTAAAGATCAATTCAAGGCAGGTTTATAAAAGTGACTAAACAAAAACTTTTTTTTTCAATAAATGAAATACAGTTTTGCTTAAGTTTTAAAAAAGTTATAGTAAAAACATTAGCAACACTTTAGCTCAGTTACACAGGCTCAAGTTGACAGTCCTTTATAGACCCCTCTTTTAATTTTAGCCTACATTTTTTTTTTTACCATTGATTAGTCTTCAAGCTTTTTACATTTAAGTCTATATCTGCATAATCCAGTGGAAGTACCTTTGATGTCCTTTCAAAATAAAAGTAACTCTTTGATGTGGCAATCTCTTAGACATAAACTGGGAAAATGAGAGGGATGCCATAATTCTTAACACAATATTAAGCCCCTGGTAAAATAAAGAAATAAAAGAAAGCTATATTACTTTCCCCCCTAACTTCCTATGAAAATTGTTCTCACATGTCTGAAAATGGAATACCACAAAACAGTTTTTCAGGCAGCTTATATAATGCAATTAATAGTGAAGTCAATTATCAGGAGTCAGAGCTATAAAAAGGTGACTGCAAACAGACAGAAGAGAAGTCTCACCACTGAATGTAGGTGTGATTGTGCTCCAGTTTGTCATAGTCTCCTCTCCACTTTGTCAGAATCTCCTCTATGTAGATACCTGAGGAGAGATGGGGATAATTAGCTGCCACACACACTTCCCCAGTGTGTGTGTGTGTGTGTGTGTGTGTGTGTGTGTGTGTGTGTGTGTGTGTGTGTGTGTGTTTAAACATTGAATCAGTTCACTAAGCTGCCAGTCTCTCCCAGTCAAACATGACCTCCGGCCAAACAAAACTCACTGAGCCCAGAGCTAACAGTCCCTCACTGCACAGCGGCAGGAGATCCATGTGGATACTGTCTGAGTGTGTTACAGCTGAAACACTGACTTAATGAAACAATCAATCCACAGAAAATATCTTCTAATATTATGATCATTAATTAATGTTAATGGCAAACATTAATGTTTTCATGTGGTACATGCCTCTTGAATTCAGTTATGTTGCATTTGTCTTTAACAAAGGCATCACTTCTGACTTTAAAATTAATAACTGAACACCTTTATTACCAAACTTTGCAAACAAGGCCATCATTGCAGAGACTTGATGATTTAGATGTTACTGAACTTTTTACTAGGTTTTCCACACCAAAAATGCATTTAACTGATAAAACGCAACCAACTCCCAATCTGACAGGAGAATTCAAATATTTGATACTTCTTTACTTTTTGATTTTGCAGTTTACTGTGCAGTCCTGACTAGTATCATACTGAGGTTTAAAATTCCAGTAGCATGACAACCCTCACACATATGCAAAGAATGATTACTGCTCCACTTTGTGCAAAGGAGGGAAACATGGATGCAAAATAAATTTTTACAAAAAAAAAAAAAAAAAAAAACGTTCTTGTAGGTTTTTAAGACTATAGATGGTTTAATTAAAAAAAAAAAAATTAGTATCAATTAATTGACTAAAATAGTTTTGATTAGTGCAGTGCATGTGTCTGATCTCACCATCAGGGACCAGAGGGATCTTGTTCAGGTAGAAGCGTAGGTTTCGATATTCATTAGGTTGCCGAGACTTCCTGTAGTTCTGCAAAAAGACAGACACAGATTAACAAGATCGATCTGAGTGTTTATATCAATTAGAAAGGAAATGTTCATTGCTAATGTGTGTGTGTGTGTACCGGGTAGCAATGACGGTATTTGTAGAGGTCCCTGGCAGCGTAGAAACTCCTCTTCATCTTTGGAACAGACTCCGGGGACTCAGTCAGCTGAGAGGACCGAAGAGAGAAAGAAAGACAGACAGACAGAAAAAAGACAGAAAATGGAGGAGGACAGAAAGAGAAAAAAGGAGAAAAAAAACACTTGGTTTAAATACAGATCTCAAACAACACCATCCTGTGTTTCAACAGATGCAGAGGAGCACTAATCTGCTATTCAGCTGAATGAAAAGCACTGACTGGGCTTTAAGGTCAAGGGCTGTCATCATCCCTTTTTCTGCAGCAAAGGAGGACAATTCACATCAGTGCTCCCGAGCAATCTCAACAAAAGGACAAAAGAAGCTGGATCTCAAATAAAATCTGGGTCAGGTTAACTTCCAACAGTCAGGGGGGCTTATTTAGCACTGAGTGTGTTACATTTGTATCTATGCTTCTGCTTAATTGGAATTCAACTATTTGGGCTTTAATTGACATATTTAAGTATTTCAAATATTTTGGCTGAGACTGATAAATATTGATATGTGCACCTTTTTTTCCATCGTTGAGGGTGCAAAGTTTTACCTGGTACTCTGATGACAGTCTATTTGTTTAAGAACCAGACAATCAATAGTGTTTGATTCAACCACAGATGATAAAGGTCATGTTTAATACATTCTGTTATGCATCTGCTCTCATTTCCAACACTTAAAGTAACTTTGATGCAGCCAACATGTGTAAGCTATGTGACCATATTGGCGCATCACCTTTTAACTGTCAGCTACATCTGCCTAAACCCATATAGATATCATTCTACTGATATTGTGCATCCCTCCGTTTTTTGTGGTGTTTTGGAGAGACTTCAGTGTTTTGTTCTGATTGAGCACAATTGTTGAGTGGCTCACAATTATAGTAAACTGATTGTTACAGGTGTAGACAACCGACATCCTGTTCTCAAACTTGGGATTTTGATTACAGAGCCTGGTAGCTGGTTCCACTTGGAAAAGAGCTGTTGGTTTTTTAACAGTCAAAAGGTAAATATTAATAGGGTTATGGAATTTTTTATGGCCTAAGTAATTGTGAGGTAAAACTTTAACATTATTACAACACTTGCTTGAAACAAATAGTCTTTTTTTTTCCTATAAAGATCCCACCTTTGGACATTTTTAATCACAATTTCAGCATGTCAATAGCAAAAACAAATATCTCCCAGAGACATATCTAAAGTAGCCCAAAGACACTTTTAAAGCCTTCATATGACCTTTATGATTCCAAAACACTTCAAAGAAAGAGCCCCAGTTGACATATTATTGAAACTCCTCTTTAACCACACCAAATTATCCGAAACCTCAACAAAATACGTGCAATGTTCCTTTAATGTTCCACTAAAAACATCAATCTGCATCCCAAGTTCACAAAGAAACCTCGACAGGAATGGCATGTCTGTTTTTTAATCCATTATTACAGTTATTTAATTTAGTAAAACATCCATCTCTTTTGCTTCAAACCAGCGATCTAACAAAGGGTGTAACTGTGAAATCCAGTTCCTCTAACAGTCCCATTATAACCTGCTGTTCCTAATACTCTGACACAGTGTGAAGTTGTCTAATAACACAGGGATTAATTATCATTACGAGGCTGACGTCTAATGAAATATTTTATGTCCTTCATAAAGCAGCAGACGATACAACTTTAATTAGAAAGTCAACATGGGAATGATTAATTACCAAACAAAATTATGTGTGTAGTTTCTGCAAAGCCATATAAGCACATGGGCTTCACAATTATACCCAGAGTAAACAGTCATATTTATTCTGATCAATAATGACATTATAATTATTAATTTACATTTTGCATTATTTTCTGGGACAACTTTTTCTTGTGTACTGTTTATTTAAAAAACTTATTTTAGACCATATGCCTCACATACAACCAGGGCCAGACCAAGACAAAGAATATACCTTGTCATTTTTTTACCTCAAAAATTTTACAAACAAAAAAAATATACTGTATCATCAAAACCTAACTTTTTTAAGAATTCTGATTCAATTTTGAGGATACAGTAACACACAGGACTTTTACTTTTAGGGTTAAAAAATAAGCTTCACTTTTATCAGCTTTGTTAGCTGTGCTCAATCTGTCCCTCTGCTTCATTTACACACACAGAATCCCCTTGCTCTCTATCTTCTCTGATGAAACTATTTTTGTCATAAATCAATCCCATTTATCTCATTGGTTCGGTTTCAGGGAGTCCAAAATCTTACAAAATAAACTTGCAAAATAATATTCACATTGTCATGCAACTCTGCAAAATTTATTAGATTATGCGATAACACTTTAAAGGAACTATAACTTATAAATGGTAAATAGACAGTTTATGAATGGTAGTTTATTAATGTTTAATCATCATTTTATAAAAAGCATGTAGACCATTAATAAATTGTACATTTTACAATTTTAAAACCTAACCCTAACTTGACAATAACCATCTAAGTAATGTTTATAGGTGGTTTATAAACCACTTATTAATCATTTATAAACTATTACAAACATCAGTTGCAACTCTACAATAACCATCTAAGTAATGTTTATAGATGGTTTAAAAAACAAATATTAACCATCTACAAAGTGCTACTGAAACACATTTTAATCTAGATGTTTGACAACCAATATTTAAACCCTATATAAACCTTTAATAAATAGTCCATGAATAATCAATGAAATTATTAATCATAATTTCATTGCTTGTCAATGGCAAAGTAACTATTAACTTACATTCATAAACTATTTATTTGCCATTTATAATTGATCTATATGCTGTTTTTGAATGATGATTAAACAGTCATTTTAATACCATCTATGTACTATTTATAAATTATGGTTACTGTAAAGTGTTACCCCAGACAATTATAATACTGTATTTTGCTTCCTTTCACTCATCACTGAACTCCAGTGAGATGCTTCTTGGTGGATGAAATGTCACACTACGGCTGTAAAACTGATTTAAGTCCACATAATGTGAGATGTGTATCATAACAACGAGGAAACACGATAATGACTTTGTGAATGGAGTTTGGTGTAGCCTGAGGAAGGATACTCGACAGACAGCAGCGTGGTCGGGGCTGCTCGGTTGCCCTTTCCTCGTCCTGGTCACAGTCTTATCAAGGCCAACCTGGCCTCTACTGACAGCACCATGTACCACACTCCCCCCGTTTCCTTTTCACATGCATACCGGGAAACAGACACTGTACCTGCGGAGACGAGTCCCCGCCGGCCCGCTCGCTCTCCGCCCGGCTGACGGAGTCGGAGATGCCGCTATCATCTTCAGTCGCCGGCTCATCGCTCTCGGAGTCCGACCCCCATGTCGAGTCGCATTCCTCAACGGTGCTCGGCTCCTTGAAACGCCAGCTGCCCAGCAGATTTCCCATCTAAAAACATGCAGCACCTCCCCTCTTTGACTATCCGCTGCTTTGCTCAAAACTACATTATTTAACACACACCCTCTTATTTAGGTCCGCACAGCACCGTGCTCACATCACTCTCAGAGCGGAGCTTTTAAATGGCAGAAAAAGGGGAATTACCACATCAGCAGCGACGACGCTGTTTCTGTATGAGGGGTGTTCAGTGCCACAAAGCCGGGGGAGGCGCTCTTAAAGGTGCAGGACATAGCCTGTAGTGATGGTGAGATAAAGCCTCTTGAAGCACTGAAGCTTTCCATCCAATTGCTCGACTCCTGGGACAAAGCTTCATTGTTGTGCTTCATTTGCTCTATTGTGCCATCAAATGGACAATAAATGTATAACAGACAGAGCGATTTATCAAAGACACCCCAGGGTGCGATGTTTTTTTTTTTTGGAGGATGGTAGGGGAAAGTCCCGCCTCCTTGGCCTCTGATTGGCTAGAAAAGCTGGAAACGTCGTCACACGCACGAGCCAAACACGGGCTGGTGGCTCTGTACATCAAACAGAACATTACAGAACATTATCGCACTTCTGAATCTCCAAACCCTAACCCTCATCCTAACCCTTACCCTAACCCTAGCCCCAACCCTTAGCTTAACCTTAACCTTAACCCTAACCCCAACCCTACAGTTGGTTTTGTTCAGTAATGGTGACACTAAACTGTGTTACAATTGACAGATTTGCATTATTTGCATATTGTTTCACCTGCTACAAGGGAAAGACCATGTCATTGCCATTTCCGGGTTTTGTCATTAAGTTGTATTTTCCCTGGTGTTTCTGTTCCCTGTGATCCTGTCTGGTGAGTTTCCAGTTTGTCTTTGATCCTGTTTCCCTCATGTTTTGCTCAGAGTCATGTCTTTTTTATATACTTGTCAGGCTCACTTCATACCACATTGAGGCACTGATCACCCCCCATATTCAATCCCAGTAACAGCAGCATCAGGACCAGAGCTATATCACCCGACTCAAAGACAGGAGGAGGGTGTCTGCCACTGAGATTATCAATGTCACTCTAGAAACAAAAATGTGACTGCAAAGGTGCTTTTTTGGCACAATCCAAACCATTTTTAAATAAAAAATAAATCTACCTTCTAATTGTAACTTTTCTCTTTGAAAAATTCACAGTGAATGAAATAGTTCACTGTAAAATGAAAGCATAATGAGGTTGTGTCTGAAATCACAGTATAGGATAGCAATTTGAGAAAGTGTTAGAGGTAGCATTTTGACCATAGGGAGCACCAACACAAATACAGTAGAAAACAAATTCTTATCTTCTCATTAAGCACTTTAGGTTAAAGATGTTCTTGTTTGTCTTAAACCCGGACACTACTAAAACACATGAGTGTACATGACAAATAGGTGCAACACTTATTAAAATCTTCAAGGAGATTGTTCAAACAGGTAGCTGTAAGAAAAGCTGACAAGTTTGGTTGAAAGTGAACTCTGTGTTTACAAAGTCAAGTAAAACCACAAAAAAAAGGTCATGCAGGTTTGTCATGCCAGCAAATACAGGAACTGGAGCTGTGGTAGACTGTGTGGCTTTGAAATTATGAGGAACAACACAGGATGTACATTTAAGCTAGACAAACTGAAATTGTTCCTCAGATGACTTATAATGCTTTGTATTTGTCTGCAAGTTTTATATTGGCAGGGGGATTACACATTTAAGGATTCATAAAAAGTCATCATATTGTATTGCAATCCGCTACTGCACACGCTTTTATCTGCGACCGTCCTCTCTAGAAACAAGAAAAACAGGATTTCGATTGGAGTGGGTCCTAAAGTTAAATATATGCTTGTGGTGACGTTTTATGCACTGATGTAGGTAAAGTCTGACATGCCACAATGCAGAGACTACAGAGACTACATCTACATCCTTTTTTTGTTTATTGCTCCAATATTGTGTCAGTCTCAGAGGAGTTCCCGTTAATAGGCATTTTATTGCTCTTGGTTTCGTTCATTTCCTCTAGTGTAATGTGGAAATCCCAAAGCAAAGCCTGTATATTGAGAAGAATTTGTGTTGTGCAGTGATATTACTCCCTCACATTGTCACGTCTCCCTGTGGGGTTGAAGCTAATGACTATTGATTTATCTGCAGAGTGCTTTACTGGTTTAGTCACTCAAAGTTCAAGATATAACAACAAAATAGAAATTTTTGGTTATAAAATGGATGTTGCATCAATTGAAATTTTAAAAAGTTTATGCACTTCATACAAATTTGCCACAGGAAGGACCAATGACAAGGTAATGAAGAGTTAATAGAGTATGTACACTTTGTCCATCATTTGCATCTGTTGTTGAAAAGTCATGGACATACACACTTTTACATAGATTTGGCCAATTATCAGCTTGAGTCCATAGATCTCCAATAAGTCATGAGTTACATAACTCATATTTAAAGCATATTTACAGATGGAAATGATGCTTTACCTGATGGTCATGCAGGATGATCCATATAAGCAACAGTTTAGTGTGACTGTCTCAGCCATCACTTTGAAGGTGTCTGTTTATAACTTGATTTGTGAAATTTGCCTAAGTTGTGTGATAAAAATGCTTTGTGAGGTGTTGACAAACATGACATTGAATTGATGATGTTAAGTAGATGAATGTTCATCATAATTATTTTGCATGTAAGGGGACATTTTGTATGCTTGATTTGCAGCAGTCAGCAGGGTTTGTGCAACATCAACAGAATACCTAAAATTAAAATCAGCTTTAGAGGATGTAACTTGGATAAATTGCTGGAAACAATTCGTATAATTCCCCTCTCTGTTATAATACCAATCATTGACCACCAGGGGGAAGTGTTTCCTTTAAAATACTGATAAGCTGCCAGCAATCATACGGTTGTTGTTTTCTGAGGTGTGTGCATGTGTGTGTGTTTCTCTTCAATGATCATGTCTTGTGAAAGGTAAATTTTAAAACTCCCTTTAAAGATCAAAAGTATCATTTACTGTGAATATTTGCTGTTTGATTCTTTATAAACCCTTTTTAGTACATATAGAACATGTGCCCATTTATTACACAACCACCAACATAAAGCTCTAATGAGGAGTTTTTTTATGTTTATGAAATAGACTAAATTTCATATTGACATCTTTACATGACATCCAAAAGCAAACAAGCTCATTGGCAGCAACACTGACTCATAAGAGTGGCACAAATGTCATCAGTGTACTGTGCAGTAGAAATCAGAGGTCTATAACAGCAGCCAGTAATTAAAGGTTTGATATAAGGAAGATGTACTTGCAGCCATATTATTTCTTTAGATGGGTTCATCGGGTCTTTTCACATTTTAAATGGGATATGATTCTGCACATATCTGGTGTGTGTATCTGGCTTTGAGTGCCTCTGTAGCCAGCCTCTAGTGGGCACTCAAAGAACTGCAGTTTTTAGCAGCTCCACATCAGCTTCATTTCCCACTTGATACTCACATTACAAGGATGCTAGCAAAGATAGTTAGCTATCATTATTTGTAGTAAAAAGTTCCATTAACCTGACATGAGAAAAGTCAACATACACCATCTGCTGGCAGCAGCGTGCTGCGGACGATCTACTATGATTGCATATGATACACAACTGATAACAGGCCTAAAAGTGGTGCAGACCATCCTATTTAAATGAGGATTTTGAGCGTGCAACCGGCCGTCATTATGGAGAGTTTAGGAGAGAAGAGTGGCCGTAAATGAAAAATGAAGTTTGAAGCCATGGAGTTGGAGGTCTTGGTGAAGAAGGCAAATAAACAGTCTGGTAAACTCCAGCAGAGACATCATAGTGTTGTCACAAGAAACCTGATTTGGGACGCTATCTGTGAAAAAGTGTATTCTGTGAGCAAAACCAGATGATCTACCAATGTAATAAAAAGAAGATGGCGTGATATCCGCAGAACAAAGGAAACCATTTTTCCTAATAAAACCACTAAAACCAGAGGGGGACTGGCAGAAATCAGCCCTGAAGTTTTTATACACGCAAAGCTTCAGTAGATTGGGCCCTTAGTATCTTAAGGTATGCTATAACAATGTAAAATGGAAGTTGTGGCCTTTTAATTTATTTCTGTGCCATCACTTGGCTGTTAATTGATTTTTTTTTAACTGAAAAAGATGAAAAACTTTATCGTTTTGTGTGTTTTTTTTCTCTCTCTCTCTGCCAGACACCAGACAGGTGCCCACATGCACATGAGCGCATTAGTAAGCAAGTAAGTAAAACCACTGAGCTGAAACAAAGAGACTGCTCAGACCCTCCACAGTCTAAAGCTGAACACACTGTTTCAGATAAACCAGCCTCCCACTCTGGGTGGACTGCAGCTCCTCGACTGCTCAGCTTGCTTTAATTCATCCTACACCCACTCACTCACCAGCCAAACCCACTCAAGGTTATGCACCTTGAAAAATAGCTGCTGTAATACGAGCATTGGCCCCATTTACACCAGACCATATAATGTAATGTGAGGTAGTGACAGAGGTCAGCTGGAGTGTGACTGTGGCTTGCTGCTTTGCTCTGCTTTTTCTCCAACAAGTTCAGACCAGAGGACATTCGGCTCCACAGCAAAGACATTTCATTAACTTAGATGTGGAAAAAATGTATTTAAAACAGTCAACATTGAATGAAAAACCTGCTAGTGTAAACCTTTGCTTACCACGCTAGTAGCAACCTCAGGCATCCTTGACACACGCTATCAGAGACGGCTGCAGAAGCTTGCTACTACAGTATGCTCTCCACTTCCTCAACAAGATCGGACAAGATGACCCTCTGCTCCACAACAAAAACATTTCATTAACTTAGAGAGGGGAGAAATGTATTTCAAATAATCAACATTGAAAGTTTGCTAGTGTAAACCTTAGCTTACCTTTACCACAGGGTGGACCATGGCGGCTCCACGCTAGCAGTAACCTTTGGCTCGCAGGCTGTGGCAACCCCTTGACACAATCAGTGAGGTGGCGGCAGAAGCTTGCAGCTATGCTCTGCTTTTCTTCAACAAGATCGGGCAAGATGACGCTCTAATCCATGAGAGAGAGAAAAAAAAAAGTTTTATGGTCTCAGACATGCTGAATATTTATTTAGCACTGATTCTGTGGAGCTCTCACAACTATTCAGTGTATAAATTCAGTTAGTGCTCTTGTTTGATTTCAAGGTTTCTTCCCAAAGAATAAAATAAACTGGTTTAAATTCTAGCCCAAAAAGGTTCATTTGGTCTGACAGGACAATGCATTCATATTTATTCTATCAAGTGTGTTTCCTTCTTTTCCTTGTTTCAACTGCAAAATTCCTACGGTCTTCCTCAGAGGAGTCACATGAAGCTGTCTGTTAGCCGATTCATAAATGTCTAGTTGTCCTACCTAGCGCAGCAGGATGACCACGCTCCCTGTTGTCTGACAGTCTCAGGACAGCAAGTAGGTCCCCTCATATTTTAGTCCTGTACTGTCAAATTATACTTTATTAGTGCTTTATTTATACAGATATTAGTGCTGGCCGAAATGCGGTAAGAAATATCGACATATTGGATATCAGCAAAATTGTAATATTGTACACCCCTGGTTAGAAAATAAAACTGATATCTAACTATCTAACTGATAGTATCCTGAAGAGGTGTATATTGATTTTTTATTCACAATAAATACCGGAGCATACATTTTAAAAAGGCCTAACCATTTTTTGAAGGGCTGCTACAACTAGCCTTCAAGCAGCAGCTGCTTCTTCTTCATCACTCTGTTTTTTTGGCAGGTAGAAAACAGTGCAGTGGACCGTTATGTCCCTTCGTTATGAACCAATTACTGACACATTTTAGACTAGTTTGGTTTCATTTAAGTTTGTCAAGGATCATGTACATTAAATAGATGACAGGCGATGTACCAGGTTTTCTGATTACCTTGATCCCATTTGCTGCCCTAACTGGGTAAACACAGGGGAAATATTGCCAAATGTTTTTCTTTTTTCATAATTTCGATAACTAAGACAGAGCAAGCTCATACAGAGGTGACACAGTGTGAACTTGAATCAGCACCAAATTTTAACAGAGGGAAATAAAAAAGACGCTCTGCTGCATTACTGTTCCCCTCTCAAACACTACAATTAAAAACAGCTGAGTGCAGCATTGAACATGCCCACTATACTGGTGGCCTGTCAGTATCCCAATTACAAATTAACTTTACCCAACATTAATAGAAATAAATACAAATAAACATAATAATTGAGGAAACAGTGTTTTTTCAGATTGGTTGCGATGCTTACCTACTGGTAAGCTTTGCTGTAACTTTTACATTACTCATTACTCATTACGAATTAGCAAAGCTGACAGCATGTAAAGACGCTGATCTAATGTCAGCTGAATGCAACACAAAAAGCCCTTCAGATAAACTGGGTTGGGTTCAACTCGTCCTAACGAGTGAAGTTTAAAAAGCAACTACCTTACTTCACCTCCAACTTGATGCTGCAGCCAAACTCGTTTTGTCCTCTATTTTCTTCCCTCTGCACCTTTTAAGTAGCATTGCGCTAACAGCTAATCTCTCAGGCCGACAGTCGGGCTCATGGCTAACGACTAAGTGTCAGGGTAACAGATGAGGCTGCTGTCCACACTGACCTGTTTACAGACACACAAAGACTACAGGCCTCAATGCTGCTGCGATTAATCATTCAACCACAAGGGCTGGAAAATGAACTGGTGGAAAATAAACGCCAGGCGGAGGGCTGAATAGTTGTTTAATCAATAGACCAACCAAATCATTGATCAATATTATACTGTTCAATGCTGACCACACTTCAGACCCAAAAACTCAGTATTTAATGATTGAAATACCACATTAGGTGGGGTAGGCAGGATTCCGTTAAGAAAGCATTTTTTTTGTGGTGTATATAAAAAAAAGCTTTCAATGTAAGTCAATAGCTATTAGTTATTGATGACATTTGGTAATATCACGATATCACTGTGTTCTCTTATGCCTGTGTAGTCAGCATTTTAAAACTTCTGAGCAGCCCACTCTTTCTAAATGTAAACAAAGCCATTCTCCGCCTCCCCAAACCTGATTGGTTGTGGGGCAGACCCTGCTCCCTCGTGCTGATTGGTTGTGATGTAGATGCTGCTCCCTCAGGTACACTCCACATCATTGAATAACGTCTACAGGCACAAACAAAGTTAGCATGCTACAATATCGGACTGTAGAAACTAACTACAAAGTACCGAAAATTGTCTGAATCCTCTTTTGGCCAGGGCTGCGACAACAAGCAAGAAAACAAAGTAAATACCGGAGACTCTAGCGGAACAACGGGCGCTTAAAAAGGAGGTAGACCACCCGGACAAGAGCTAAAAAGCCAGGTCAACGTGAGTAAACGCTTCAGGATCTTACGGACCCTGCAACCTTACTCCTGGACAGGTAAAATGCTTTAATGAAGTAAGCCAAGTGTAACATAGTGTTTCTTGTCAAACGGGACCTGCTGCATGTTGTAGCGTCGCTAAACTGTTGACCTTTTTCAGACGTTTTAGAGGTCCTGCAAACATTGTGTTTGCTGGTAGTCTGTTGGCATCTACAGTAGCAGCAATGCTTTTTACTTTCACGTTGACTGGGCCACATTTGTAATAATCTGAAGTATTTATCTGATCTGAATTGAATTGGAACAATACGAGCGAGCAGGAACATCTGTTTGTGGGCGGGGCTTGCTGGAGCAGAGAGGGAGGGGAGAGGAGGAGCTGAGGGGAAGACTGGTTGGGAGGGGTAGAGTTTACATTCAAGATTTCTCCCCAAAAACTGACACTTACTCAGATCCTGCCTACCCCACCTTTAAGGTACTAATTTAATAATCACAAATCAATATCTTCCATGTAGTGATGTGTTTAAAAGTATCAGGGTGATAAACCTGCTAATTAAATCAAGGTTTTCCCCTACCACTCATCTCTAAAGCTCGCTTGAAATCGATGACACCAAATTTGGTGCCTGAGGTGTTCTTCCATTTTTGCAGATGGAACAAAAAGCCTCCTGTATCAAATTTGAATAAGAACATTAAACTGATAAGCTGGACTCCCTGGGCAGACAGCGGGACATGTTTCAGCTCAGACTGAATCCCAAATGTTAAATTTAATACAGGTTACTGCAGCTCCCAGCACACTGCCAGATAGAGAAGGTGCAGTGGAACATACGGATAGTAGGGGATACATCAGCCTGTTATCACCCTTCACTCTTTAACACAGCAGCTTGGACAGCAGCCTGAGGCTACAAATATGATACTTCGGGTAACCCTCAAGCATCACTTTTGGACACTGCCCCCTGGTGAATTGTTGTAAGAGTCAGCTGACAGAGTTTGAAGAGTGCAGGAGCTGCTTTGGAAGGTGAAAGAGACAGACAAGTCAAACAAATATTGCATCTCATTTATTATTTCTGTGTGAAACCAAGCTAAAACCAAGAGTCTATTAAAAGTCATCCCTTTATCTTGAAAGCTTGTTTACAAATGTGACGTCCAACAGATGGTGTAATTTGATCATTATCCACAATCCCACATGTGCAAAATACTGAAAAGAGACCTGGATAATTATGCAAAATTACTGAACTTAATATCTTGAAACTAATGAGATGTTAAGTATCCCAAGCAAGGGTAATTTGATGCTGGGGGAACTATATACTAATCTGATGCATTGACAGCGATACTTTAAAAAATATGCTGCAGTGAATCTCCCAGTTGTCGCAGAGCCGGTCTAACAGGTGACTTTTCATTTTTGTGAAAGTGATTCAATCCATATATGCCACTTCTTTGGTTATTTCAGACCAATTTGATGCAACCCATTATTGCATCTCTGTTTTTAGCAGAGCCTGGCCCAGAACACTGTCAAGTACCTTCAAACACAGCAGGCAGTGCCTACTTACTACTGGACTCAAATACAGCCATTATCACTGTTGCTATGGAGGTTTTAAGCAGTCAGCTGGGACATACATTTCCACCATTATTTCACAAACATGATACCGGGTTTGTGAAACAATCCAGACCAATCCATTTAGACTCTAAGTGCTTAAAGGGATATTCCGGCGTAAAATTAATTTAAGGTCAAACACATCGTAACACCGAGTTAGACAACCCCTTGAGAGATGAATGTTGCCGACTGCTTGCTTCTCTAGGAAGCTTTGTGGCTATAGAGCTCAAGGAAGAACATTTATGATCATTTCTTCATTGAAATGCAATCAGACCGACATGCTAAGGCAGGAGAACTACCATGTCTGCAGTGCAAAATGATTAATATGGTGATTATCATTTCAAGGAAATGATACAGAAAGGATCATAAATGTTCTTCCTTGAGCTGGGTCAACCTGCAGCAGTCCGTAATGGATTGGCCTGAGGTCTCGCTACAAACAACCTGGATGAGTGTAGGTGAGTTGTGTTTAGTCTCTTTGCTAATGAAATTAGGCAAAGCTAAAAAGATGTTTGGTGGTTAGTGCTGTGGCTGAGACCCTATATGTACTGTTGATGAAGTTAGGTGCTGTTCTGAGCATGATTTGTGGCTATAGAGTGGCGTTTTGGTTGAGGTTTGTTTATGGCTCCTCAGACCGCTGTGTATTGCTATCCTGTGGTCATTACTTAAGTTGGTATAACTAGAGAATCAAGCGGTCGGCAACATTCATCTCTCGAGGGAGTGTCTAACTCGGTGTTACGGTGTGTTTGACCCTAAATTAAATTTACGCTGGAATATCCCTTTAATACTGATAGAATCAGCCAAACCAAACGTGGAGTTGACATCGGATGCACACACAGAGCACAGAGATATATTGGCACAGTTTTTCTACAGGGAGGGTCTTCTCTGTTATGCTAATATAGCGCCTGATATTGCCAGTAATTCAAGGTTAGTCAAACAGCAGTCTGTTTGGTTGCCGGGCACTCTCGGGAGAGACGCTGGAGTCCTGGCTCAACAACACAGAGGCAGAGCTACAGCCATCAATGTCAGTGCGCAGACAGAGCGAGGTACAGCATTTGTTCCCCAGTCCAGCTCTGTGCTGAGAACAGAAACGGTCAGGCGGAGAGTCAGCTTGGAGCGCAGTCTCAGGAAAACTATGGGGTGTTTAGCTGAATGGTGTGTGTGAGAGACAAACTGAGCGACTGAGAGATTTTTCTGCTCTAATGTGCAGATGTAGAGCTGCGATATCTGCTCTTTGAGGGGCTCCAAATAGAAGTTCGATTAACCTCAGTCTCTTAAATCGATATCCTCACTGCTGCTGATGGACTCTTTCAGGAAAGTCCATGATTGACCGCTTTGTGTTTGTGTGAGCTCTGTGAAGTTGCCTTAACTGTTTCCTCAAAGAAATCAGTTTAGAACGAGAGAGAAAGAAAAAAATAAAAATAAAAATAAATATTGACTATAGTCAGAAAAGACTACAGAATGAGATGAAATGGGAGAAAGAAAATTAGAGGAACTTTATTGATCCCAAAAGGGAAACTCAGTATGACGGGTAAAAGAAAAAACTGAAGGACAAAACAAGCACAGAAATGTATAAACTGTAAAGACCTTGGTAGAAAACCTTCACTGTATTTTTATCAGGATATTGTGACAGATGACAATGAGCAATAACTTTGGTAACCATCATGACTTGACTGATGTGGTAAAAAATGTCCAGCTTACATTCAAACCAACAGAGGTGTTATACTTAACAAACAATCCATGATACTCAGCCGCAGTTCAAATAAAAGCGAGTTGATAAAGACTTTGTCAGTCCGTGCTTATATTTATAGTTCTACCTATTTTTTTTACACCATGTTAGCTAACCAACAAATTAATGTATTAAAGGTTCAGTCTGTAGAATGATCATACTTAGCAGCACAGTAAAATTTTAAGCTGTAAATTTATAGTAAGTTACTGGCTTCTAGTTGCATACTTTTACAGTATTTTTCCAATGGTTTATGTA